ATGATCCCAGGGTCCTGGGATCGAGTCCCACATCGGGCTCCCTGCTCCGCGGGAAGCCTGCTTCTCCCTCTCCCACTCCCCCCGCTTGTGTTCCCTCTCTCGCTGTCTCTCTCTGTCAAATAAATAAATAAAATCTTTAAAAAAAAAAATAAAGTGGATGAGTCTAGGGGCGCCTGGATGGCTCAGTTAGTTAAGCATCTTCTTCAGCTGGGGTCATGATCCTGGGGTCTTGGGATCAAGCCCCATATCAGGCTTCCTGCTCAGCGGGGAGAACCTGCTTCTCCCTCTCCCTCTGCTACTCCCCCTGCTTGTGCTCACTTGTTCTCTGTCAAATAAAATCTAAAAAAAAAAAAAAATTTTAAAATAAAGTGGGTGTGTCTATAACTTTTCAAGTCCCTCCGCAGTAAGTGCTTTGGAATCAGAGCTCAGAAGATTCTAGAAGATTCTACAGTAAAACCAACACAGCCAGAAATGGATATTCAAAGTGGGGTTTTTTTGGTACTTATTCTTTAGAGATTTCTGCTACATCACTGTCATGTTCTAAAGATCGCAGGGCACCTCTTTGCAACCAAAGGCAATAGGCGCTAATGTTCTAGACCCTATGTAGGTTCATCTCCAGTGTTTGATATTAATGAAATGATTTTGAGCAAATGAAGCCTTTGATCAATATCTCCTTCAAACCCTGGCCAGCACATCTGGTTAAGAATGCCTAACCAGCATTGGAGAGCATGTGTGAAGATGTGGGATGAGGTGTGTCACACTGAGTGGAATTCTATAAAGGTCTAGTGAGTTTCCCTCTGACTAACTTAGGGGAGCATGAGAGAACAATCACACTCTTTATAAGCTGACTCTTGTCTATTGTTGAGGGCAGACTGGCAGTGGGTCTCCTCCCCGAAGTGAACCAGTGGTTTGGTTAAGTTTATTGTGTTGCTGCCCCTCAGTGCCAGCAAAGTAAGAGAATAATTCGATAAAGGCCTAGATGGGAGAGAGCCTAGGAGAGATCCCTGCAGCCCTCTCTCTCCCTCTGACCAGCATCTCTGGCTTCCCCTGCTTTCTCCAACATGCCAATGGAAGCCTTTTAATGGAGTTCGTGTAGTCTAGGGTCTTGCTTTCAGATGTGTCAAGACTTCAGACTGACCACAGGGAGCGAAACAAAGTCCAACAGATAGTCCTGTTAGAGTCAGTAACTGTCTGTACCCCTTAATTCTTTAAGATGGTTTAAGGAAATAACATGGCATACGTAAGTAATCATATTCTCTTTTAAATTTTATTTTTTTTAAGATTTTATTTATTTGACAGAGCACAAGCAGGGGGAGCAGCAGAGGGAGCAGCAGAGGGAGAAGCGGGCTCCATACTGGGAGCCCAATGCGGGGCTTGATCCCAGGGTCCTGGGATCATGACCTGAGCCAAAAGCAGACGCCCAACCAACTAAGCCACCCAAGCACCCCTCTCTTTTAAATTTTAAATTCCTGAAGAGAACTTTATGAAAAAAAGACAGCTAGAAAATAAATGCAAGTATAGGGCAGCCCTCTTGGGTCCCCTCCCTCTTCAGGAGCTTTGAACTATTGCTCAATAAACTTTGCTTTGCTGCCTACCAAAAAAAAAGAAATGCAGGTGTACATGCACAGAGCAGGCCATAGCACCACATGCATCCACCAGGTGCTTGCAAGCACAACATTGCTAAAGAGAGCAGATTCGGGGCGCCTGGTGGCTCAGGCGTTGGGCGTCTGCCTTTGGCTCAGGTCGTGATCCCAGGGTCCTGGGATCGAGTCCCGCCTCGGGCTCCCTGCTCCGTGGGAAGCCTGCTTCTCCCTCTGCCTCTGCCTGCCACTCCCCATTCCTGTACTCTCTCTCTCTCTCTGTCAAATAAATAAAATTTAAAAGAAAAAAGAGAGCAGATTCTGTAATATTGGGGAGTTCCTGGTCCTCAAAGTAAATGGCACTTAAGATGTAGCCCACCTCATGCTGACCCCCTCCTTGCACAGAAAAAACAGGGTGAATTCACATTTTTTCGAAGGACAGAAATCTATTTTGCATTATACACAGCCCTGTGTTCTACTTGCATGCTGGGGAAGGAAACTGAATTTCCTAATGGAGTCAGTATTTTGAAGGAATGTTTCTTAGCAAGGAACAGCGTTTCCCTTAAGCAAAAACAGGATCTTCTTTCACAATAATGAACCCATAGAACCTAACTGAATTAACTGGTGAGAAGCCAGTTCCTCGTGATGGATATTAGCTTAAGCCAGCTAGCAAACAATTCCGTGTATTCTCTTTATCTGCCTGATACAGGCCAACCCATTAAGTCCAACGACGCAAAGGCCCAGAAGCACGCATTGGGTCTGATGAGATGTCTGTCGGGCCCTCTGCTGTCTCAGCAGCTCTAACCGTTTCAGCCCTGAGCTGTTAAATAACGAAGAAACAGACGTTTTTCTCTTTTTCTTCTCGACTCCTCCATGTCGAGAGCGTCATCCCTTACCAGATCTTCCTCCTCCTTCCTGCTTCAGGAAAGCCACAGATGGGGACCAGGACTCGGGTTTCACTGCGGCACTCAGTACTCAGCCTTGCATCCGCCCGGGGCTCCCGTGAGCCACACGAATGGCACACGATAGAAATCAGTGTGACGCCATAGCTTAGAATGAGAGACCCGCCCTGGGAATAGCGGTCAAATTTGGGGAAGGAAACCTAACAATACATTCACAGACGTGAGTCACGTCTCATTTCCTTTACAAAGGCAGCTGAGCTACTGCTCTAATCACTGTCCTATTTAATTTTCCACTACTGAGTAGAAATAAATTAGAAGTACAGGGGAGAACAATTTAATAAGTAGGTCATGTTCAAACAAAGTTTCTATAGTTTTCACAGATATTAAATAAAAAATTTTTGTACTAATATTCTTTAAGCAATAATTCATCGAGGGCTTGCTGTATATGGATGAGCCTTCGCTTGGTGTGTACACGCAGGACGGGAAAGATAATGACATGTTTGGGGAAGTTTGGAGGACCAGATAATGAATAATGTTGATTCTCGAATAATAGGATGATGTTTGGATTTTGAGATGAAGCAAATTAGAAAGTCACTGTGGATTTTCCAGAGGACTAGAACATGATAACAACAGTGTTTGGAGATTATTCTAGCAACCGGAGGGGAGGAACAGTAGTGCAGAATGTTGTCCTAAATGTTGCCTTCATGGTGGAACACTAAAAACGAGAGAGCTAGAAGACTGTTGGGGGTACCCGAGTATGAGCTCATGGGATCTGGTCAAAGGCAGCCATAAGGTCAAGAAGACTTTTGCCTGCAGATCAGTGAGAACTTCAGAGAAAGAAATTAAAGCAAAATCCTGAAGACCGTAGGAGGGAATGTAAATCATAAACAGAGAACAGTCTCTGTAATGACATTGGTGTTTTAGAAAATGTTTGCCTTTTGTGACTATCTCCTTTCCTGTTCTCATTTGAGATACTGAGTCTTTGATGCCACCAGTATTCCTACGGGCATTCAACACGTATGCGGGAGTCACCGTGTGACATATGACAGGTGCTAGGCATGCAGAACCCTCTAGTGGCACCCGGCCTAGAGGAGGTGCAAAGATCCCAAGCAGTGCCGACCACACAGGCCAATCTATACTGTCCCAAGGAGCCTCCCAGATTTGGAAGGGAAATCTCAGAAAGGCTTCACGGAGAACAGGCAAAACATCCCCTGACATGAAAAGCCTGGGCAGATTTGGACAGGCAGACGGGGTGGGGGTGCTGGATTTCCTGACACAGTGTAAACAATGGGCTGTTAGAGTCCATGGCATGTGGAAACCCAGGGCTCAGTTGGACTCTCTGCAGCCCGGGTTGGGAGTGCTGTTTCTGCAGACGAAGACTGAATATCCTTTCATAATCCAAGCTCAGTATTCTCAGTTAAAGTCCAGTTCCAAATACAGCTCTTCTGTTTGCACCCAAGGGTGTAAAATCCTTTCATCCCGGCGGGTGCCGCTACCCCAGCAGCACCCGAAATGACCCTTCCATTGATACGTTTCCTGCTCTCCCTTGCAGCACATGATTGCCGACACAGTCCGAACCCTGAGACACTGCAGGACTAATCAGTTTGGTGAGTACTGGGACTCAGGCACGGGATGTCAGCTCACCGCCCCTGGGCACAGACTGTGAGCCAGTCACAAGTGTTTGGTGGGAATGTACTGAAACAGATTATAAAGTGTAATATGCAGATGCTGTATTCTCTTCTCGTTTCGTCACTGCCTGTTTGGGATGCAGAGGAAGACAAGATACGGCAGCTTTTTATCCTCTCAGCAGCAGGTTTCCCCCATACAGAGTGACCTCAGATGATCAGAGGCTCCCCACTGCACCCCTGACCCAGAAAGTCTACTTGCTTGTCCTGGGGCTCCCAGTTACCAGTGGGTTCCTCAGGGGTGACCCTGTCCCTAAACTCCTTGTTTGGAGCCTTCCTGGAATAGGAACATGGTTTGCAGAAGTGCCTGAAGCAGCCTTCCAGAATCTTTACTCCTCTCCAACAAAAACTTCCTGTCTGGAGCCACCTTTCACTGAAAATGTATTTTTCTGAGCACTTCTGTGGACTCCCCACTGAGATGAACGTATGTAGGAATATGTGTTCCTTTTTAAACCTCAAGCATAATTTACACTATGTTTAAATAGCATTAAAACCCTGCAGGAAGGAGGGAAGTCAACTTTGTTGAGTTCAAGGAGCGTTCACATGGGCACCGGCATCCTGACACCGGTATTGGTGATTGGTGCACAGAGATCGTTAACACAGAGCAGAAAAGCGGAGCCTCAGAGAGTGAACCCGTTCGGCAGAGCCCGCCTGATTTCCTGACCCATCCTCTTTTCTTTGCTTTGTGCAGGTTCTGTAGATAAGAAGGGCAGTAAAAAAAATTAGAAAGTTAAATTCAATAATTATAAGTCAATCAAAGCTGACCACTAAATAAAGCTTTAAGTAAAATATCCTCATTATAAAGTAATTGTTTCAATAATACAGAAGTACGCCTAAAGTAGAAAGATCCAAGTCCTACTTCCTAAGGATAGGTGCATATTCTTAGGAATTTTTTTCTGTCCCGGCTGGTCTTGACTGGCAGTATTGTCCCCTACAAAGCAACGGAAATTCTGTATGAATTACCAAGTTTCTGCTTGCAAGGGAGAGTTACAAATACAGGACCTAAGTTTTTAAATACTTACGTCGGTTCCTGCCACCTGATACGTGCTTATGTAATTCTCTATGAAGCACACAGTAGATTCACTTACCATAGAAACAGTGATAATAACACTGTCGTGGAGATTCATTCAAATGTATAAGCATAATGTTGCTGAGTGTTGGGTTTTCATCCTCCCTTGCCTCCCAAGTACTGATGGGTACTCAGCTCATTCTAAGACATCAGTCTCACTGACCAAGAGACTCTGCAAGTGTGGGCAGGAAGGTTATACTGGCTTGGTGGCCTCGACCCTGTCTTAAACCTCCCATCACCAGGGAGTAAGTCTGCATAGTACAAAGCGTAACTCTTTGTGTTCTGTATTTACATATCTTTAAAAATTGTGTCTGTGACTGAATTAGTGAAATTAATTTTGACAGTTTATATAGACATAGTAAACCCATGTCAGTAATGGGGATAAAGTAAGATGACATTAATCAAGCCACTTAAAAATTATACAGTGCCATGCAGTTGTCATTTGTCATGGTGGGAACCATTCATTCGTTCTGCCATCTTCAGGCCAAAAAATTAAAAAGAAAATTATCTTTGTACCACTATGTTTCCTAAGCCAGTATTTACTAAACCAAAAGCAGTCTCTCAGTGTCTCACAGAGGAGGTGTTCTAGAATAATACAACTTTTTGGTCACTTCCAAACAAGTGCGATGGTAAAAAACGTTAACTCCTGGTGCTTTGATTCTTCGAAACCAGGAAGCCTCATTTGCCATTAAACCTTAAGAATTACAAGCTACCCATGTCATACATGCCTTAAGTGATAAAACACAGGTGTCACAGAGGAGGAAAAAATGGACCTCACCAAGAGAAAAAAGTTGCTGCTTTAAAATGCTTAGCCCCCTGCGGGCCCTTCTCCTCAAGCCGAAAGCCACTGCTCCCATCTGAGATACCAGGAAGCCGGGGCGGGGCGGGAGGGGGGGGATGTGACGTCACCATCTGTCTCGCAGGGACATTGTTTCTCTATAGCAGTTTAGTCAGGCCCCTGGTGCCTTGAGGTTTGGGGGGATTTTTTTGGATTGTGTTTGGGTTTGGCTCTGGGAAGTGGGCTTGCCCCATTGTGCAGGCTCCTTATCAGAGCTGTCACCGGCGTGGCACGGACGTACATGCTCACGGGGCACGAAAGCTTCTTGTGGCCCTTCAGGTTCTTAACAGCCCTGGCTTTGGGAGTGGAAAACCCCCTTGCCTTGTCCTTTGCAGGGTAGACATTAGCCCATCCACATACTTCTGGAAGTTGCTTTGCCTGTTAAACATACCTTAAGTTCAGTTCTGTGATACCTGTCATTCAAATAGTTCCTTCATTTTTTTTTCAAAAAGTAAGGATGCCAAAGAATTATACGGCATCTAAACACAAACAAACTATGGTGTCCGTGCACTGAGCAGATGAGCAGTGATCTCTGACGATTCCAGACTGAGCTAGAAGAGCCAGGGAAAGCCACTGAGACAGGCAGTTGCTGTGACAAGGGACCGTGGATGCAGACCCGGGACACATGGCCTGGGCGCCGGTTGTGCTCTGCCCCCTCCTGGCTGTGTGTCTCTGCAGCTTCCCATTCTGGAGGGGGGCCACTAAGGCAATCACTGAATACTAGATAACGTTAGGTAATAAGTGCTCTATGAATGTTAGTAAAACAAATAGCTTGCCAGTCTAATTACCTGACCTGAGGACCTAGTCTGAGCTGGAGAAGCATCTCCACCGTGAGGATACAGACCTCCCTTCTGGCATGCTGACTTAGGCGTCTACCTGGTAGATGTACATGAAGCCTCAACGTGAGACTTTACTGGTATTTAGACACAGTGTTTCTGCTCTCATGAGATTGACTTGTCTTTTTTTTTTCCTCCAAAAAAACAGGAGGCGATGTGTCTCCAAAGGAGCACCAAGAGTTAAAATCCTACGTAAATCACCTGTATGTCATTGACAGCCAGCAGGCCCTGTTTGAGCTGTCCCACAGGATCGAGCCTCGGGTGTGAGCGCCCGCCCCCCGCACCTCCCCCATAACTGCAGCACTTTGAGCTGTGGGCACGTGAGTGCTGAGCACGTTGCTTTCCTGTGAGAAAAAAAGTTGCTGAGTTTTATCAGCATAAGACGCACACAGGAAAGCCAAGCAAAGCATGTTCAGGAAATGATGTCAGCCGCCAGAGATGGGGAGAGGCCTCTCCGAGCTGCTCTCAGAACGAGAAGGCAGAAAGAGTCAGAAGCATTCTTGAAATGGAGAAGTCTGGTTTCTTCTGACTGCCTTGTTGATCCAACCCAATTTTGATCTTGAGATGTGCCAGCGTCAAGACGAGAGCATGTCTTGTCCTAGTGACCAAATACGTCAGCACGAGTATGCATGAGCCAAGAGTGTTACTTTGCCTGGTGGTAGATTACTGTGTATAGGCTGTCAGAGAAGCAGCTCATTTGAACACCTAAAGACAGTGATGGCATCTCTAGATTTCCAGGGAAAAGGAGTGGCTGCTGTCAGTACAGTGATATCACCAAAAGCCCCTCATGTCTAGGAAGTTAGTGAGGGCCAGCAGCTGGCCTCCGTGCTCTGATTTCCAGAAGGGAAATGTCAAAGCATGCATTTCTTTGCATCCACAGTCACTTGTCGATGTAGGCTTACGGGGGAAATGCGTTTCTGCACAACTGATCAGCTCTAGGCTGCGTCACTTTGCCAATAAGGAAAAATAGTAGTCATCTGCAAGAAATGGACTCACTGTTTAATTTCGGGGGATTTTCTTCACATATGCAAGAAGATTCACATTTCTTATTGGAAACAATGTGATTTTTTAAAAAGCACAGTGTATGATAGAGGGTAGGCGCTCAGTAACGATTTTGAGGGGTACCGGAGTTCCAGAGGTCTGCCTTCATGTACCTGCTGATGCCCTGCTGTTTTGCCGGCCTCCAGCAGGCTGCTCAGTAACAGCCACCGCAGGGAGGCTAAGTGGGATTGATGTGGCACGCACTTAGCCCTCATTAGACAAGAGCAAGGTAGTGACTAGTGACCGCCCACCTTACAGCAAATAAGAACCCCCAAATACCCAAATGTCTGATTGATATTGGACACTTAGAAGTCCTGCAGTCCACCTCCCAACCAAGGGCCAGAGCCTTTCTATAATTTGTCTTTCCCCCCCCCCGCAAAGTCTCAGAGTCTTTTAGTCAATTTTTTTCCTATTTTGGTTCCTCTAGCAAATAAAACCTCTTATTATTCTGAAGAACTGGTTAGAGTATTTCCCTTGAGCTTCCCGTGAACAACAAAAGCCTGAGGGATACAAGAGTGAAATCCACCGCTGCCGGCTAGGTGCTTGTCACGTTGCTAAAATACAAGGGCCCTGCTTCATGTCCTCAGCCTTCATTTTCCACACGTGTGAATTCTCCACGCTCCTGCCTGCTCGTCCCTCAGGTGCCCGCACAGAACTGCTTCCTGCTGTCCCATCCACACCTTATGACAGAGATGTGCCTGATACTTGCTGATACCCTCTCAGCAGCGCTGTTTCCTGGGCTTGGGAACCACACCGACTTTGCGAGATCACGGGACGGAACCACGTGGAGAAAATTTGGGGGAGGACTTTCAAAGAGACTCCATCTGTCCCCGCAGTTGAAACTTGAGTCCTGAAAACTAACAGGGCTATAAGAGAAAGGCACCATCCAGGGCTGGGCCACTCAAAGACAAGCTCAGGCCACCGGGAGAAGACGAGAGCTGGCGGAACCGGGGAAAACCGGCTCCTCTCACGGCCGATCAAGGCGAAAGCTCTCCCCTTGGCAATTGTTGGGGATAGCCTGGGCATACAGCACAAAGGCCTGTGCTCTCGCCTTTTCTCTGCTCTAGGGAGGATCATTTGGCCAGTGTGATCATGTCAGGCCATTTTGACATTGTCTCCACATTTTACCATTAGATCTGTTCACATTAGGTCTCCATCCTCCCACCAGAACATTACCTCTTGAGGACTCATTTTCAGTGGAGAACGATTTTAGCATAGCACCTGCTGCTTAGATCCCAGTTCAGATACGTACACAGCCAGATGAATCCACACATACATCACATCTGAACACCTTCCGATGGTGTGGTCAGTATTCCACCCGGTATGGGTAGACCCAGGCCGGGGAGAATGTGATGCTTGCCCACACGTCGCTCCAGCCGTGGTCACGTGACTCTCAGGGCGGCAGCAGGAAGGGAGGGTTTTGTGTAGTTTACATTTGCTTTTTCATTCCTGTCTTCTGAATGTCAGAATTTCCAAGTCTTTCTGAAATTTAACAACTGTCTCCAGAGATTTCCCAAGCATCAGCAGCTCAGCAGTTTCTGAAGCCCTTGAAGACTTAAATCTGGAACTCAAGAATCAAAGGCAGAATCGTGGGAGCCTGATTTAGCTCAGCATGAAACTTGCCCTCACAAAGCTGGGCTGTCCCGCAGCAAGGCCCCCTGTGAAGAGGGATGGGCTGTATTCCCTTTCCAAATATTTGCCCACATCTCTTGGGAATAGGTTCTGTTCCGGCTAGAAGGGCGGACAAAGATGTCCAAGCTCCTTCCCAGGTCTTAGATTTGTGTGGTTGCCTAAGATCTCCATTCACTCTGAAAACCTCCTGTCACCTGGCACCTTCCTCAGCAAGTGGCGCGTGAGCACTTCTCATTGGGTTCTCGCTGCTACAGCACAACCTCCAGACAGTCCTGCAGGACCTGTGGATTTGTCAGCATTCCAGCAAAGCAGCCCTGCTTAGAAGTTAGCAGAGGACAGGGTTCTGCGGGCAAAACTGCAGCCTTTCTGAAACTTTTCTCCATACATATTTGCAGATGTTCCAAAGGCTACAGTGTTTTAAATTCGCTTTTGTTATAATCTGTACAATTAACAACTGCTTATAGTGCTAAATATTATGACCTACATTCACTTTATGTTAGTATCATTAATGATGTTTGAATAAATGCATTTTCCTAGACCCCTGTCCACAAGCAAGTTGGGTGGAGCATACGTTGAATTCACAAGGATGAGGAAAAAAGCAAAAAGCCAGGCCTCCCTGTTGGTAAGCAAAAGGCGTTGCGCCGTGTAGACTAGCCTCTGAATAGAGAGAGACAGTTGCATGAAAGAGGGAGTTGGTGATTTCTGGTCCCTGGAGCTGGGCTTCACCACGGCCCCAATCCCAGCCCCACTGTCTTGTTATAGCCGTCACGTACAGCGCATATCCCAGACCTCGCGTTCTTGAGTGGCATAGCTAATCCAAGCTTCTCAGAAACTAGGCAAAAACATTAAAATGGGGGAAGATCAGGTCCACTGCAGTTGTCTAATGTGGAGTTTCTTTTAAATGCTTCAAAGACATGTCCTTAAAATTTCAGCCTGCATATTGAGTGGGCCGTCGTGCTTAAAACTAGTAGGGGAAAGAAAAGTTTTTAAAAATTGCCAAAAAGTTAAATGAAATTGTACTACTGTATAAAGCAAAGCTGTATATACTACACGTTTTTTAGCAGAGTGATATTTATTTGCATAGCCTATTTATTGTATTCGTATTACACGGTTATTAAATACTGGGATGAAATTGATGCCCTGAAGCAAGGACTCTTGCCTTTTAATGTACCATTATTTAGGACTGCTGTGACATTGTCAGCTTGCGTTAACAATTAGAAGATAGAAAACCCACAGTCGGGGTGTCTACCTAACTTCTCAGGGACTACACTTTGTAGTTTTCCACCATTATAAGAGCTGGTAAATATGAAACACTTGTGGAATTACCAGAATTGCCATTAACAGTATTTTCTTTCTCCTTATGCCATGCTTCCTGCTTCTGTATATATGACTGTCTGTGTATTTATCGAAGCTAGTAAGCAATAATTTATATGTAAAAAATGGCCAAGCAATATAAGGTGAAAACTTATATAAGTCACTGTTACCTTATCTTGTATTTTCAAGTGTTTTTTAAAAATTGCTTTTCCAAATATAAGATTATGTTCAAGATACTATTCGTGCCTCATAGCTTCTTGCCACATCTGTGGGCTCCGTAGCCTGTGTCCTGGCCCTCACCGTTTGGGACCCAGAAATCATTTGCTCACTGAAAGAGCCACCAGTAGGTGGAGAGGTTCCCAGGCTGCCATGGGGCTGTTGGGGGACCCAAGACCTTGTGTAGGAAATGACATCAGTATTCTCCTATTCTGTCACCCCTGTCATCACACTCAGGTGGGACCAGGACCTCTCCCTTACCAATCCAGATACCGAGGGAAGCTCCAGGCCCCGCCTGCACCAGAGCTGTGGGAGGGACAGTGAAGCACAGGGTTAATAACTAGCTCTGGGGTGGTGGGAAGACTAGACCATATCATGGTTCAAAATCTCTACCCCTTCTTATGGCAGGATCATACCTTCTGCTCACCAATGTTAAGCTTTGGCATGTGGTAATTCCTTCCTGTCAGAGGATTAGGTATCTCACCATGTTGAACTCAGGAGCGGCCACATGTCCTGCTGTGTCCAGTAAAAAATGGGGAGAAGTGACCTGTGCAGCCTGTAAACTAAAGCTTGACAAGATAGCCATGCCTGCCAGGTCGCTTCCACCATGAGACCTACCATGTTCCAGGAAGAGGGGTCTCCATCTGCCTGGCTCTCCAGCTTGTGAAGGACATGTAATTTGAGTGAAACATAAAACATCATCATTAGAAGCCACTGAGGCTTGGGGGTGATTTGTTACCTCAGCAGAATTTAACCCACGCTAATGAAGTCTCCCAGGGCATGTCTTTCTTGATAAACTGTCCTCTCCCTCAGTGTATGGGCAGTAGTCTGGCTTTGCAGAGCGCCTCATGGATGAAACTACTCGTTGTCACACAGCCAAGCAGAGGCCTTGTCTCTATATGGGAAAGGGTAAAGAAGACCAGAAGATGATTTTCTTGGATTCTCATCACCCAGAAGTGGCCCTTCTGAGTGTCAAGGGAAAGTTCTTCTCTGAGGTCGTCTGGGTCCCCGCTGAGTCACCTGTGTATTTGCTTCCCACTCACTACTTTAAACAAACAAGATTC